CATGTTTAAATGATCCACATGAAGCTAAAATGATCCTATTTGAGGCCACTACTGTGTCTCAGTTCCGTAAACTCCTGTTGGGGCACAAAAATACAGAGTTCCTGTTTGTTCACAGTTTGACCTGTGAATCATCAGAGCATCTCTATGACTCCCCCTGCACTCGGCATCACGTGCATCCAGTGTGACATGTTTGACCAAATGAAGAAGGTCTGGGTCTGAAGCTGACCCTGTCTCTGTCTGTATGCCATGGTGACATATTTCACCTCCTCCCTCAGCCCACTCTCACCCTGGAAAAAGACGGCATGTCTCAGGAGAGGCCCAGCCGACCGTCTCGACACGCCAAGAAGAAGCAGAGAGTTCCAGCTGAGCCGGAGCTCTCCGAGTCCGACGAATACGTTGATTTCACCGAGCCAAGACACGAACCGATGGCAGAATTCAACGCCGTCATCGTCGGCGACGAGACCGAGACAAGCTCTGCTGTGCAGAGCATCCAGCAGGTACATGTGCAGACTTTTACTAAAGATGTTGCTTTATTCTTACAATAACATTTTCCATCTGCTTTTTTCCCCCCTAAAGACCAGAATAAATGGAAGCTTGATAAAAGCAGGCAGCCTGATTAAAAGAGGAAATATGGGCTGAAGAGTTTCCCAGAGACAGCAGCTGACTGGTGGAAAACAGAATAAAGAGAAATCCATAATGATGACATGCAGCTGTAGTAAAGTATCCACCACTCTGGCTCTGTGTTTCTAGTATTATCTTTTTGTTGAAATAAACTGATCATTTAATAACTGTTGGGTTTGGTTATCAATCAGTGTAATAAAAAATATCCCTCTGAATGGGCAGTAATGAATTATAACCCGATAACATCACCACACTATAACACACACTGGACTCAGACTAAACATTGTCTAGAAGGTCAGTCTTCATTGTGGATCTTTGGCAAACTGAAGATCAAACAATAAATGATGGTAACAGACTGTGTTCCACCTTTAAACCTGTCGAACAAAGCAACAAGAATAAGTAAGAAATAATAAATACTGCAGAGAAAACCTGGATAACTCACAATAAAATAATTAAAATGGTAATGATTCAGGTTTTTTCTCTGAGTAGTTTTGTAAAAAAAATGGGTTCTTACCTGTATTTGACAGCTATAGATGTGAGTAAACCAATTAAGAGCCTCTATTTCTACATCTTCATCACCTGGATGTGTCAATGAAAGGCAGTTTATAATTAGCACATTTGTTTTCAAGGTTTATGAGCTTAAACAGGATGTTGTTTTTTGCTTTAAAATCTGAATCATGTTACCGTGACAGGAGTGAAAAGTGGCCACTCCGGTTGATTCATTGGTCATTTCTTCTGAGTTTCTACCTGCTGCTGTTTCAGGTGGTGGTCCTGACCGACCCCAGCGCTCCGTCAGCCTCCTCCCCCAGCTCAGTGGGTCTGACCAACATCACCGTCACGCCCATCACCAGCCACGCCCCGGCCCAGTTCACCAGCCTGCAGCCCGTAGCCGTGGGCCACCTGACCGCCAGCGACCGGCCGCTCACGCTCGACAACTCCATCCTCACCGTCACCTTCGACACCGTCAGCGGCTCCGCCATGCTCCACAACCGACCGGCCGAGCTCGTCCCAGAGACGGTGGGCCCCGGCGGAGGCGCGGCGCCCCAGTCCGTCGCCCACTTCATCAACCTCACCACTCTGGTCAACCCCATGGGCCACCAGCTGGAGGCCCCGGCTCTGGCCTGGAGGCCCGTACCGGCGGCTGAGGGCGGCCAGGTCACTCCGGTGGTGGAGGGGGCTCAGGGGGAGAGTCAGGAGGCCCAGAGCCAGGGTCCCGAGCCGGGCCGGCCCAACCAGAGCCAGCCGCCCACCCCACAGCAGCAGAGCGGCTCCGCACAGCAGATGTTCAGCTACTGAGCAGACAGCGGGGGTGCAGGTCACCTCACACAGACATTGTTCCATAGTAGAGTAGATTTATACGTGCAAAGCTTTGATCACTGTCACCCAGATGCCTCTACAGCCCCATGGAAGCAAACGAAATTGTAATTATTTTCTTTTTTTATATATACAGACAAAACAAAGTGTTTGGTGATAACGATTCTGCTGATTACAAAACGGGAGAAATGGTGCATTCAGCCAAAACCACTGACACTCCGCTGACATCTGAAACCAAAGCATCATGTTGAATATTCAAATGCCTTACCAGCCTTTAAAGACGTGCATGTTTTCAATCTGCTGCTCGGAAAATGAAGTATGAAACCGTACCGACCTGGAAAAGATGGACTTGGATGGTGGCGAGCTGGTGACAACACTTCCACCGTCACGTGTTCCCGAAAGAGTGTCACTGATGAAATGTTATTTTTAGAAAGCTGTATACTGTAATTATTGTCGACCTGTTGGAAAACAAAACTGGAAACTTTTTTTTACTCTTATTTTTTAAACAAAATGCCTCTTTAAACCGGCTCGCTTCTTCTTCTTCTTTGTTTTTGTGTGTGTGGTCTGCAGCTGCCAGCAGCGGGGGAACATCCGAGCAGAGAGGTTTTTCTAAATCCCAGCGCAAATGTCGCCTGAATCAACCAAACCTGCTTCTGTTTACAGCTATGTGAACAGCTGCTCTGGATCTCCTCTGCTCTCTGACCAGTGAGCCTGTTTGTCCTTTAATCAGGCGGAAAATTATCGCTTTTATGCAAGTGTGACATAGAGCACCAGTCCTCACACAGATTCTACAGCGATGTTTACAATATGTTGGTCAGCTGCTTGTGAAACATGAGAATCAGTTGACTTTCCAGTTTATTGAATTTGTCTTCATGACTGTTGCATATCCTCCAGAGAGGAGAAAATAAAATAAAAACTTGACCATAAATCATAATCATCCCTTACGCTCGTAGCAATAAAGGAAAATAGCCAGAAAAGACATGTAGGAATTAATTAGTTTGTTAAATAAACAGGAGTACAGATACTTAAAAGAAATGATTATTTGTGCTGGATTAAATTAGTGATGTTCTTAAAGCTACACGTCATCCCAACTGAAGGTTTTCTAAATAACAAGACAAGAGATCCACAGTTTAATTCCTCTAATAGCTAAAAAAAATACTAAATTATTAAGAAATAAATTGCAATTATGGGCTGCAAGGTGTCTCGGTGGTTAGCACCATCGCCTCCAGGTAGAAGGTCGCTGTTTCGAGGACACCCGGGATCTTTCTGCGTGGAGTCTCCATGTTCTCCCCGTGCAGCGTGGGTTCTCTCCGGGTTCTCCGACTTCCTCCCACAAGGTCCAGAAACACGTTGAGGTTAATTGGTGATTGTAAATTGTCCGTAGGTGTGAATGTGAGTGTGCTTGGTTGTCTGTCTCTAAGTGTAGCCCTGTGATAGACTGGTTACCTGTCCAGGTGAACCTGCCTTCACCCTGAGTCAGCTGGGATAGACTCCAGCCCCCCATGACCCTGGTGAGGATTAAGGAATTAAAGAAGCTGTAGTTTTAAAGGCTGTCAGAGGGGACGGTTTGGATGTCCAGGGTCTGCACTGATTCCTGCTGCCGTGTCCTGACCCTGAGCTGACCCTGAAGGTGGACCAGTCAGATTGCGGGCAGGTCGGCACCAGTAATGCTTTCTGCAGGCTCGACGGCCTATTGTGCTCGGTTCCTGTGCTGCTCGGCGGCTGACAGTGACGGACGAGCGGAGAACAGTGACTGCAGTGTTGAACTGGATCAGCGAGCTCTGGAGGCAGCTTGAACTTTCACACAGTTGCTGGGCGTGGTGAGGTGGGGGGCTGTGCCTCGTCTTAATTTCACTGACTATAGTGTACATATGTAAGGGCTAAAATAAAGGACTGATCTGATGAGGTGAGATGTCAAGAAATTCAAGCGTTTCTAGTTTCCTTCATTGAAGGACTCAGCTAGACCTGGATGGATCTTCAGACATATTGTGTTTTCATCTGAAGCCGTGCTGAGGTCCTTAAATGGAAAATAAAGTTGAATAATGTTCATAAAAACCCACAACAGGACTTAACATTTAGATTTTATCTTGCAACTCCCATGGTCTGTGACACAAACTACAGTTTTTGTCAAAGCAGTTTGGTGGATTTATAAAGTGGAAAGGACAGCAAGGTAAAGTAGTGAAGCTCTTCTAAATACAGCATACACTTAAACTGATATTGATTATTTTAGATTAACCTTTTTGCAGCTGCCTCCATCCACAGCAGCAGGTATTCTAAACCGTGTACGTGCTGAACATCATCTACTACAGTCACTACGCTCACTGTGGACGACTTCTAAAAAGGCAGTCACAAAGTTCTTTCCATCTCTGAAACACTTCACTGTTATTGCATTTATTGTCTCTATTAGACTCTGTTTGTCTCTTTGCAGTGTGCAGCGTTGGTAAAGCTTCTCCAGCAGGAGTTTCCACCAATAAATGCAGCTTTCAGTCTTCTGGATTGAGGCGTATGTGCATCTGAGTTTGTCGAGCAGCCAGGAGGAAGTCGTTACTGCATCACTGACTCTTCCTCCAACCGCACGAGTTCCTTTTACTCAAACTGACTGAGAAACGAATTCCTGATCTGTTCTGGTATTGATCAGAAGCACCAGCGCAGGTCTGGACAGGCCTCGTCCGGCAGTGTTTATCAAGGGTTTAGGTGAGTTTTCCTCCTTTGTAATCCCACCAACAACAACATGTGTGAACCCTACACTGACCACAACAACAAGATTTAAATTGAGATCAGAATAAGCTTTAGGAGGCAGATACTGGGCAGAAGCTTTGCAGACATGCATTCAACATTATACATTATTTTATATCAGAGAACAACCACAACATGATGGATAAACCCAAGCAGGATTTTTATTTTTTTTACTTAATCTTTCACAAACCTCAAGCATGAGCAAATCGTGGCCTTCAAACCTACATGGAACTATTGTTTAAAGCTGTTCAAACACAGCTGTCAGCGTTTGAGAATCAGGGAGACACATCAGCCGGCTGTGTCCTGCCACCAGAGAGGAAGCTGAAAGGAATGTTTAGAACTTCTCACTAACTTCAGCGTCACTCAAATAACTAGAAACTGAAAAAAGTAATAATAAATAAAAATGTATTAAATTATAATTTAGTGAAATAAGACATTGCTTTTGAATTGTGGTTGAAGCGAATAATTTAAAAATTTTTTTAAAAAAAACTGTCCAAATGAGAGCTGATGAGCAGTGGGCCAGAATACCTGTCAACAGGTGCACAAGTCTGACTGAGAGTTACAGGAAACACCTGATTGGCTCAAAGGGTTGTTCAACTAAATATTAGCTTATGGGTCCCATCATGCTGGTTTGTTTATTTGTTGTTGTTGTTGTTTTTTTAATGTTTCTGTTGAGCCACAATTCAAAAGCAACGCCATGATGTTCGATACATTTTTATTTATTATTACTTTTGTCAATTTCAACCTATTTTAGTGTTTTTTTCCTTCTTTAACGAGCGGATATGAATACATTTGTCTGTAAGTGGTCATCACAGAGCAGCATGTGTTATTACTGAGTACGTCCAGTAGATGGCGATAAAGTCTGGCAACGTGCTAAAGTTTGACAAGCATGAATATTTACAATGATTTGCTGCTTAAATGTTTGTTTTCAGTTTAAAACATAGACGATAACTCTAACAGGAAACAGAGCTGCACCCACGACGGCTTCATATCCGTGTTGTCATTAGATGATTCATTAACGAGCCTTCCTCCTCTGAACACCAGCGGCTGCATTCTTCTGATCGTCTGTATGCCAGCAGGAAGCAGAATGAACAAAGGGCAGAAGAAAGCACAGCTCCACTAATTAACGTGCCACCACAGCAAGCTGTCACAGGCTCTGACTTCATCCTGACAGCATGACTCTGCAGTTCTGATCAATGCATTGATTAGTTGAGAAGATTATTTGTTATCAGCTGTCTTCATTGTCCCGGCTGCATACCAAAGCATCTCAGATCAATGAGGCTCATTTGAATTGAGAACAACAGGTTTGTTTTCCCACAGGAGAAGTGGACGGTCCTGATTCCTTATCTTGTCTTTAATCAGCGAGCAGATAAAAGGAGCTGATTTAATTAACACCCCAGCAGAAAGCTCCTCTTTCATTCTAATGATGGAGAGGTGTGGCGAGGCCCGATGGAGACGGGCGGACCGGCGCCTCAGAGGGCCTCGTTCACGCTGCCCACACCGTTTAACCTGCGTGAGTCCTGGCTCCTGGCGTACCTGTGAGACCAGCTCATTGTCTCAACAGCTGCCCTGATGACATATTTATAGCGAGCCTTTCTACCTGGTCCTTCCAGTTCCCTCATTAATGCAGCGGAGGGTGGAGTGAGGTTATATCATGCGCTAAGTGGAGGTAAACACAGAGGCGTCGCTTTCAGGCAACAAACAAGCAAAGACATCACATGTTGTCCTCACATGTGGTGAATTTTCAGAGACAAATAAAATATAAAAGAACCCAACCAGGCGACTAGTGACAGCTGAGGGAGGCTGTTGTCTAAATTAGTCTCACTGTCTAACTTAGTGCAAGAGATCTTTTCATTCTCCCAGACTAATTCTTCTCCTATAAGACACACAGCAATTATTTTCCTGTAAATCACAACCTGACTTTCATTTTCTTACTTAACGCTACGCACTTTGGAAGCTGCCCAGCCGCATGACTCATGGGGTTTTTAGACGCGCTAACTGCACCAGCCGCTGGGCTCAGCTCTGGGGCAGGACGAATCAAAACAGGCAGACTTATTAAAACTTCTGGTGGGACTAGATCACTACAGCAGAAGGAAGCAGTCACATGTCAGATGATTCAGTCTCGTATCATCTCACGGTAATGGCTTCTAAGTTGAACAGTAGGATATTTTCTCTAACAGTTTAGATGATAAAAATACAGTAGTAGAACCTGAGTGCAACAAAAGTCAGAACACCTTCAGATTCAAATCTTTTTTAAACTTCATACGTCCACTTTCACTTCTGATGACAGCATGGATGCCTTCACCAGTAGAGCAGCTCTCGTGTTGCTCTACACGACTCTTTAAAATACCTCCAAGGTGTTTGGATTTCAGATTCAGGGTCAGGGGACACATTTGCCCGGATCACAGTTCAGACAGTAATTAGAAATCACAGGCGAACTCAGTTTGGTTTCAGCCATCACTCGGTTTCTAACTCGTTAATCAATGAGCACAGATGTGTTGTTGAATCTACTTTTGGTTTTGTCTGTATCGTCTTTCTAAATTATTTGCTTTTGATTGTTCATTAGAGGAAACACTCTGCTAGTCAGTGTAAAATTAAAGCATTTCAGCGACATGCACAGGGTGGTACTCACTGTTGTTATGCACTGAATTAAAACATTCACCTCATTACCTCATTACCTCAACTGGGAAACTTGTGTAGATCTGTGGAGCTATTATGGGGGAATGCATAACAAACCAGAGCTATCTTTACACATATTTCCTTCCAACAACAAGCTACCTGACTGTTTAAACACATCACACATTCCTACTTGGATGGAAAGTTATTTCCATATCGTGCCGTCTTCCTAACGTCCTCTTATGGAAATCTAATTCAAATAATGTACAGAAAATTAGACAAACACATCAGCTTTTCATCCACTTTGCCTTTAAGGTATTTATTACAGCATGCAGTGGTCAAAGTTTAAGTAATTTGAACTCTTTTCTTTGCCTGACAGCTAAAAAACCACAGAGCAGTTGGGAATAATGGGCTTCAACATGCAGCAGTGCTGTTGTGTCTGAAGGCCTCCTCAGGTGTCCTGGGACAGACAAGCGAACATGAGCTCATACACATCAGGGCATTGCATCCGCTAATATAATTCATACATGCTAATTAGCTGGAAGCCAGAGTCCTTGTTTTACTCAGAGAGAGTGCCTGGAATATTTACCATTTTGTTTTGTTTTACATTATTTGAGGGGCTGCAAGGTGCCTCGGTGGTTAGCACTGTCGCCTCGCAGCTGGAAGGTCGCCGGTTCGCGTCCCGGTGAGGACACCCGGGATCTTTCTGCGTGGAATCTCCATGTTCTCCCCGTGCAGCGTGGGTTCTCTCCGGGTTCTCCAGCTTCCTCCCACAGTCCAGAAACATGCTGAGGTTAATTGGTGATTGTAAATTGTCCGTAGGTGTGAATGTGAGTGTGCTTGGTTGTCTGTCTCTAAGTGTAGCCCTGTGATAGACTGGTTACCTGTCCAGGTGAACCTGCCTTCACCCTGAGTCAGCTGGGATAGGCTCCAGCCTCCTATGACCCTAGTGAGGATTAAGCGGTGTATAGATAATGGATGGATGTAATGTTTGTGTTTGCTTTTGCTAAGATTCAACCCTTCTTCCCATCTCATCTTGCTTTTTTGTGCTACAGGAAGTGGAAATAATTCATAGAACGGACTCATGAGGACATTTCAATCTGATCTCTGGCATTTAGGGGCTCACGGTAAATGATTTCCCTGAGATAAGCCTGTAGGTTATTGCAGCAATGCGTCTCTGTATATAACTGTCATCAGTCTGAGGCTATCTGTGATGTGTTGCTACGTATACATCACGCTATAAAACAGAACAACCAGAGATAATCTGCAGCACATTGCTGCTTTATGAGACGTGAAAAATGAATCATTTACCCACAAGCTGGGTGGTTCCTACGTGAAATAAGCGTCCTTGAGTAAAACACTAGACCTCAATCAACTCCAGGTTGTTGTTTTTTCTTTCTGCGCCTGACCTTGAGCTGTAATCGTACCACATTTAATGTGCCGCTGTCTGGCAGCTACGAAGGAGAAGAAGATTCTGTATTATGCGTATTAAGTGACATCTCCATTGTGTTGAAGGAAACCAACCTTTCCACTAATCCCCAACTGTTTTTAGTGTGTGCAGATTATTCTGAATAAGCCGCCTTGGGCCAGAGTTTTTTCTTTTCTTTTTTCTTTTTTAGTTATTTGACGTCTGTACGAGGCAATTATTGAAATTATGGCGTTAAAGAGAAGCAGCATAAAAGTGCACAAAAGGTCAAGAAGTTAAAGTCATGGCAGGAGCTGAATGTACAGTTCACTATAAATAACATAAAGTCATCGTGGGTGAACACATTATCGATGTATTCTACTGCTGCATCGACTACAACACATACTGTCAGAGTAATAACACAGCAAATACAAGTTAAAGTCAAGTAAAATTAAGTGAGAATAAAGTAAAGTAATGCTAAGTTAAACTAAGCTAAGGTAAGTTAAAGTTAAAATAGAGTTACGTTATAGTAAAGTCAACTAAGGTTAAGTTAAACTAAAATTAATTAAAGTTAAAATAGAGCTAAGTTAAGTTAAAGTAAAGTAAAATTAATTAAGTTAACGTAGAGTTAAGTTACGCTAAAGCCAAGTAAAATAATGTAAGGTAAAATTAAGTGAGAATAAAGCAAGGTAATGCTAAGTTAAACTAAGCTAAGGTAAGTTAAAGTTAAAATAGAGTTACATTAAGTTAAAGTAAACTAAATTAAGTTAAAGTAGAGTTAAGTTAAAGCCAAGTAAAATAATGTAAAGTAAAATGAAGTGAGAATAAAGTAAGGTAATGCTAAGTTAAGTTAAAGTTAAAATAGAGTTATGTTATTTTACGTTATGTTACGTTACAGTAAAGTCAATTACTGTTAAGTTAAACTAAACTAAATTAAAGTTAAAATAGAGCTAAGTTAAGTTAAAGTAAACTAAATTAAGTTAACGTTAAAGTAGGGTTAAATGAAGTCAAAGTAAAGTAAAATAATGTAAAGTAAAATTAGGTGAGAACAAAGTAAGATAAAAAAGTTAAAATAGAGTTATGTTACATTACAGTAAAGTCAATTAATGTTATGTTAAACTAAAATAGGTTAAAGTTTAAATTAAGTTAAAGCAAAATAAAAAAAATTAAGTTAAAGTTAAAATAGAGTTAAGTTAAAGTCACGTAAAGTAAATGTAAGATACAGTAACGTTAAACTAAGCCAAAAATAAATTGAAATTAAAATAGAGTTAAGTAATGTTAAGTTAAAATAAAATAAATTGAAATAAAAAAGTAAAAATAGAGCTAAGTTAAGTTAAAGCAAAGTAAAGTAAAGTAAAATAAATTAAAGTTAAAGTTGAGTTAAGTTAAAGTCAAATAAATTAAATGTAAGATATAGTAAAGCAAGGTAAGTTAAACTAAAAGAAATTAAGTTGACATTAAAATAAAGTTACGTAATGTTAAGTTAAAGTAAACTAAATTAAGTTAAGTTAGAATAAAGCAATGTTAGGTTAAACTCAGCCAAATCAAGTTAAAATTAAAATAGAGTTAAGTCATGTTAAGTTAAAATAAACAAAATTAAGTAAAGTTAAAGAAAAGTAGAGTAAAAATAAGATAGAGTAAAGTAATGTTAAATTAAGCCAAATTAAGTTGAAATTGAAATAGAGTTATGTAATATTAAGTTAAGTTAAGTCTGATCATAGGATGAGTTTCATGGTGAGGAGATGAATCCACACATTCTCTAACCTGTGCCGACTCAATATTCCATTTCACACCTATTGTTCAGACGTATTCCCTCTCCTGACCTCCGGGGCCTTTATGTGGATATAATGGACTACAGTGGGACAAAGATGCATTTATTAAACGGCACATTCCTGGCTTCATGGCCTCAGGCTCATCACACAAACTATTCTCTTCTTCTTCTTCTCGTGGCAGATACATGAGAAAGCTCAGGACTTCAGGCCATCTGCAAAACAATTGTCTAAAGGCATTTACTGGCAGCATGCTGCCTTGTGGGCTGTCATGTTCCTCCAGTGAACTTTTCCATCCCTGCCCTGTGTTTCAAAACCAGGATGTGAGGTCACAGCAGCAGGCTCCGCCCCTCTGTTCACCTGAAGAGAGGGAGGGGCCTCACCCAGCTAGACAAGAGGAAAAACAAGGAAGAGCTCACAGAGTCGGTGGTGTGTGTGCTCACTCCCACAGATTGTACCTTGGAGACGGAAAAAACAGGAATTTACTGGTGGGTTTCTCAACATGGACATGGACGTCCCGGATTCCTCGCATGGGAATATGGGGCTGTTAAGGACCTTTGACTCCTCTGAGTTTGGCAGCTGGGAGAAAATAGGCTCAGGTGGATTTGGACAAGTATACAAAGTCCGGCACGTACAGTGGAAAACATGGCTGGCTATTAAGTGCCCTCCCTGCCTTCATGTGGATGACAAGTAAGTTCCAGCTGTTCGGCCTCATGTGTTGCTTGCTGTTAGATTCAGGTCCACATGCTGCTTTCAGATGTCTCTTTACTCCTGTATTTGGAAGTTCCACACTGTCTTTCCCAGGCTCTTGTCTCTCAGCTGTACAGTCTGATGAGCAGTTTACGTGCAAGCGGTAGACAGACGCAGGCTCAGAATATGCATGAGTCACTCTCTGCCAGTCTGGGCACACCATGCAGCTGGAGCAGTGGCTCAGCAGCCAAGTGGAAGCCACGTTTCAACACAGTTAAATTGTGTTACAGGGAGGACCAACATCCTCAGGGCAAGTGTAAGTCCACACTGCTCAGGGTCAGAGCTGTTTGCTTTTTCCAACTAGAGCCAAGCATGAAAGGCTGCCAGCTGATCTCCCTCATAAACAGTGATGTTATCAGGCTGTGACCGCAGGGAGGGGCTCATTAAAATAAATGTACTTTAAAAAAAAGAAGAAGAAGAAGGAGCAAAGAGGTCTCCCCCTCCAGGCACCGCTGATTACACAACGCTCCAGAATTCTCTCACGTTTTTCATGAATCTTGCTTTTGCTCTGCATGGGCCTCACAGCAGAAAGGAAAATGTGTGTTTTCTATATTTTTGGATGTGTGTGTGTGTGTGAGCCACTGTGCTGCAGGTGACTGGTGTGAAGTTGTCTGAATCAAGCAGCAGAGGAAGCTCCCATTCTGTTGTGCATTCACACTGATTTCATGATGCACGCTACAATGTTGTCTCATACGATCTCATAAGATAAAAAAGTCATATATTGTTGTTGAGCTCTTGCCCCAGGCGTAGCAAACCAAGCAGGACTGTCACATTCTGATTTATCTTCTGGCCACTGACACCAAAGCATTTGAACAGGAACTGTGAAGACAGACATTTCCTTTCAAAACTTGTGGTGCAACTTAAAAGCATCCACGGAACCTGCACCAGAGATGTTATCACCTCCAAACATCTGCAGAGTGCATAAACAGTCGTTTGACTGCAGTCTTCATTGACCCACACATAACATCCAGCCACAGGGACTCAAAGCCACCTTTGTCTGGCTGTGTCGCAGGCCGCCGCTGTGTGGCACAGACAATGTAAGAAGCTGTCAAACCGGTCTTACCGGGCCTCTCTGTTAAAGCAGGGACATTGTTTGGTTGTGAGGAGCTGCTGCCGAGCGCTCTGGATTAAACGAAGGGTTTAGCAACAACTGCGTGTCCTGTTTGATTATTCCTGCCGGGCAGATGTGGGCACTTTGCCTCCTTCACTTCACTATAAAGGATAATTCTAGTCAGGCTTCCTCCTGCTGACTCTAATCTGAGACACCATCTCCATAAAACTCAGGTGCTGCAGGAGTCTCTCATGTGCATCTACTTTAATTTAACTGATGGTACAGAATTAGTCCATTCTGCCTTTGAAGCACATTCCTATGATTGCAGTCAGGAGAAGTGACTTAACTTTCTCTCATTTGTCCTCCGTAAGAGGCTGCATTATGAAAGCAACCTTTGCTTGAGAGATATGTGCACTGAGGTCATGACTGACCTGCACGGTTGTGTTTGAGGTATGTCAGCGGCGGACTGATAATGGGAGCTGTGCAAAGATTGAGCAACAGAGAACAAGAGCTGTGTTTGGGCCGACTCTCCTGATGCGATCCAGGCAGGAATGTCCTCCAGGTTTTAGCAGAACCGCTGGGCACTGAGGAGCAAGAGCCACATACTCAGGAGGTAAATTAATTATGGATGTTTACAGAGGTCACACCTTCACAGCCTCCAAGGTGAAGGCTGATGAATGTTTTGCATGGCTGAGAGCTCGCTGTGGATGACGTGCCATGTGCTGGAATTTTAATTAGGACAAAAGTTGTGCCAAATATGGGAGCTGGTGAGCAAAGTATGAGCTCCGAATCACAGCACAGGTTAATGTTTTATGTGTGAAAGGGTCCGATACATAACTGTGAGCTGAGACGTGTGGAGGTGATGGTGAAAAACAAGGTGACCCAAATACCTTTCAGCTGGTGTTTGTCTGCACTTCTTAAAACTGCTTAGTCACCCCACACGAGGCGCTCGCTGGAGCCAGTGGACTGTAACCTAACTGTAATGTAACCTGAACGTGATTGTATTCAATAATGTGTTAAACACAGGGAGCTTCTGGAGCTGCTCGAGGAGGCCAAGAAGATGGAGGCGGCCAAGTTCCGATACATCCTGCCTGTGTACGGGATCTGCGAGGACCCCCAGGGCCTGGTCATGGAGTACATGGAGACCGGCTCCTTGGAGACCCTGCTGGCCACCGAGCCGCTGCCCTGGGAGCTCCGCTTCCGCATCATCCACGAGACTGCAGTGGGAATGAACTTCCTGCACTGCATGAGCCCACCGCTGCTCCACCTGGACCTGAAGCCGGCCAACATCCTGCTGGATGCTCACTATCATGTCAAGGTAGACGGTTTATCACAGAAGTAGCAACTCCCTGGTTCAATAAAAAGCATTCAACACGAGGATCTAATTCATCATATTTGGCTGGAATTAGTTTCTTGTAATGTCATTTTTTAGTTTACATTTGTGCAGATTTTTTATTGTTTTTATTGTATTTTTCTCCCAGTATATGAACAGAAATGTGTCGACTCAGTGTTTTTGTTCCTGGAAGAAAGATTTGACATGAAGTCAGACCACAGCTCTCTTTGTTTAAAAGCTTTCTCAGAGGCCCAGCTTTAAGCTTTTGGGAGGAATTTCAGCCGTGAGGTGCTTTGCTGTTCCCTTTCATCCCTTTAAAATGATAGCCCTGCACACGCTCTGGGCAGACAGGTGTCTGTCAGCCGCTGTCCAGCCTCTGAACAGCCCAACTGCAGTAAGAGCAAGGGGTGGGAACCATCACCGTCAGGGTTTATACCTGGATGTAAACACCTCACCCGGGCCTGTCCCGACAGGATTAATTTAGCTCCTATTAAATCTCCCTCTGTGACTGTGTGTGTGTGTAGGCGGGTGTGCACTCCTCAACACAAATGTGGAGGGCCTCTCCTCTCCTACAGGCTGGGACATGGCTGGGTTGCCCTCATCATACCACTGAGTGCACATAATAAGAGCTTAGCTGCCTGTCACACCGAGCGGGCAAAGTTAGTCATCAAGGCCGCGGTGCTTCATGAGAAACACTGCGGGGTTGCTCTGTAGAGGGTCTTATCTGATCTCTTTCTGTCTCAGATATCTGATTTTGGTCTGGCCCGGTGGAACGGTCTGTCACGGGCCGACGACATCAGCAGAGACGGTTTCTGCGGCACCATTGCCTACCTGCCACCCGAGAGCATCATAGAGAAGGACAGAGTGTCGGACACCAAGCATGACGTATACAGGTTGGCTTGTTTTGACAATTTACGTGCAAGCTTTTGTTTGAATGTGTTTAGGTGTTATCTGGCTTTATAATGTTCACTTAAGCTCTGAGTCACAGTGTGATGAATCCAGATTAATTTGGTCTGATAAATACTGAGTTATCCCATTTCTAATATTGACTTCTAAAACATTCTGTAAGATGATCATGTATATTTATAGTTAAAGTCAGGAGCCACGTTTCTAGCAGAAGTGTAATGTTGGATGTTTTCTTGTTTTTCTCTTTTTCCAGTTTCTCCATCGTGATCTGGGGGATTCTCACACAGAAGAAACCCTACCAAGGTGAGCACCGGAGTGGCGTTAACACATGAGAACAATGGGGATATACTTTCTTTCGAAGGATAAAGACAAAGCAAGAAAGTCTAAAAATCTGAATTGCCAGTGGTGGTCCTGGTGATTGTAGATCTGGGCTATAAGTCTGTAATATTCTGTTTTCATTTCAAACAAGAGTCTCCATCCAAGTTAGCAGCTCTTAGAGGCTGCACAGTGCTGCTAAAAGTCCACAATGACAGTCCTGACATGGTGACATTTAGCATTTTGGCAATGTTTATCATGCTAAACACAAAGAGGAGATAAGGCTAATTGGGAATGTCATTAGTTTTAGAGGTATTTGGTTGTGACAAAGGTACTGGGCTAAGCTAAAGAGCGCTCTAAAATGGCCCAATGACAAAATATTATTTATCAACATATCGTCACAATATATTAATATAAATGAGGCCTCCAAAAATGATAATTTCCACTAAAACTAATATCACAACATCTGACAAAATAATATGAGTTTCATCGCATGTTTTTCCACCTTGGGAGCACCAAAGTGATTCAAACTTCCAGCCAGTCCATCCAGTAGCTGTTGAAGCATTTCATTTAAAGCCGCTTACGTCAAGCTCATTGTGAAAACTGAGAGGATCACCGATGTGGTCTCATCCTCTGGGGAGCATGAACGTACAGTTTTAACATCAATCCACTGAAAATCTCCTCAGATATTTTTCCCAAAGCGCTGGACCGACTCAGTAAATGGGTCACTGAGATGTTTGTTTCTCAAGCTTCTAAACCACAACCCTAATCCCACGCTCTTCAGCCTTATGAGATAAAAGCCTGCACGTTTTTCTAATAAGACAAACATCTGAATTGATACGTCAGAATGTTTTATCTCTGTTTTCCATCTGTTTTTATCGTTTTCCAAGCATGAATGAGATTGCACAGTTTCCGGTAAACACACAGTAAACACTCGGGTTCCACCTTTAAAGGTGTGTGTGTGTGTGTGTGTGTGTGTACAGGAGCTGCAGTGTGTGTGTGTGTGTGTATGTGTGTTTACTCGGTGAATTCCTGAGCAGCCAGGTGGACAGGGCCAGACTGGCAAGCACTGTGTTTTTTTCCCAGGCGTATCAGGTAGCACTTCAATTTTGTCGACCAATGCCTGGATAGGCTAGCAGGGTTGGCACTGGCACCGCCTATGTTGATCCAGACATAATTAAAAAGTGAGAAATAGCCCGGCTACCATCCCTGCCTGTCTTCCTCCTCCACCTGTGTTGGGTATTACGGCTACAATAGGAGGTGAAGTACCTGTGATTAAAGCCTCTACCTGTTTGCTCTGAATCATTGACTCGGCTGATCCCTCAGTCAGATAGAAAGAGGTCAGACCAGGATCTCTGAGAGCTTTTCCCTTTTGACTCCCATGGGAAACAACAACATACACTCCCCTATCTGAACACACAGGAAGATGGTGATAAAGCGGTGCAGAACCGACTATCTGTAAAGGCACTGGCGCCTGTCACCACCTGAAGCTGTGTTTTCGTGCAGCACGTTCCAACATGTGACTTACAACTACAAGTCCAGCCATTTGTATACAAACCATACGTCCTTGTCAGAGCAGATCCATGTGCCACAAATGATTACTTATTGATGAAACTGAACTCCTCTGCTGTTTTTTCCTTCAGGAGAGAACAATATCCTGCAGATTATGGTGAAGGTGGTGAAAGGGGTGCGTCCTGACCTGGGAGCAGTGCCACGATGTCGACCTTCAGCCTGCACCGGCTTCCTGAGCCTCATGCAGCGCTGCTGGGCCACAAACCCTGCAGCCAGACCCAGCTTCCAGGGTAAGTTATAACCAGCTGTTCACCTTTTATCTGTCCTGATAACACCAAGAAAACTAATTCAAAACAAAAGGGGTTTTCCTTTAGTTTGGATTAAAACAAAAACAAAAAGCCTGTGATGAAAGTCAAGTTTTGTTACCGTGTCCCTGTGGTACATCTGTATAGGTTCTCCACATCATGGTAATTCTAGAAGCAACTGGACTTCTCTTTTAGGTTCTTGGAGACGTTTCACCTCTCATCCACTAGGCTTCTACAGTTCTGAACTAAATAAGTCCAGTTGCTTCTTATTGAAGCTTGTTGATGCTTTATATTATAAAATAAGGAGTCAGCATTATGGCTGAGCATGTGTCCCGATGACAGTCTCAGAAACACAGACGTCTGTGGCTTCATACAGACTTTAAGAACCGATCCTGTCGACTTGTAGGGTCCACATCATTACTGTTCTTCAGAATCAGTTTCAGGCTTGAACATGTGTGGCTGAATTAGTCCATCTGTCCATTGTGTCGTGTAGAGCAGGTTTACGGTGTTAGAGGAGCAGAGTGGTGGGTGAGCTGGTGTGCTTGAGTTGCAGCCAGCAGAAGCAGCATGGACTAGATCTGCTGATTTTAGAGGAGGCAATGGTGTAGAGTTACACAGAAGGATTATTATCATGGAATAAATGTCTAAATATGTAAGTTTGATACATAGACGTGTTAAATCAACAACTTCAGGAGGATTTTAAGCACATCGCTGTAGCTTTGTTCCTCCTCTTCCTCTTCGTTTTCCTTCATCCCATCCCTGCTATCGCTGACACCTGACCCAGAGCTTTTGTCCTTCCAGAAATCACATCTGAAGCTGAGGAGCTCTGCTCTAAACCTCAAGAGGAGCCCAAGACACCAACCTTATCGACATCAGAGCCAGAACCCACATCCCCAAACGCACTCAGCAGTAACCAGGTACGACACGACGGCACCGCATTCACAGCTTTGCTTTGTGGTGAAAACTAAATGTGTATTTCACAGATTTTTCCTTCTCTGTAAGATGTAGCAAGTTTTTTGTTTGTTTGTTTTAAACTTTAAGTCAATATTTTTTAACACTGTAGATCTAATTCAAATATGAAGAGCAATAAATATACTAAATATCAGCGATGTCCAACTTAATGTACGCGCTCCCTTCTCCCCCTTACTGCCATGACTTAACGGACTTTATGCCTTTTTCTTTAATGTGTAACTACTCACCCAGACAACGGGAGGCTTATCTTTAGGCTGTTCCAGACACGATTATGACTTTATAAGTCATATGTTTGATCCTGGACACCCGTTGCATCACAAGAGGAATGTTGACTGATGGGATTGTTTAACCTGTGGGCTGTTTTGTCATTTCCTCGCTGTGGCGTACGTGACTAGAAACAAACATCCTGCTCGTGGGAAACGACAGCTGTTACTCAGTGATATCTGTCCCCTTGGAAGTTGTTATGAACTTCCGCATACATTGAGGTTATTTTGACAAGTCCGACTGTCAACATTCAATAAATATTGACTGTACTGTGAGTGGATCTGGGCACCAGCTAAAGACCTGAGCGTGGTCAGAATGGACTGGACAGAACGTCCAGCTCGTCTGTAACACCGTGTGCTTCTCTGGCTTTTTGTTCTACAGGGTAATGACAACAAACCGGTACGTCCAAAATCAGCCATGTTGCCAGAAAAAGACTACAGTCTGTCAGAGTTGCTGAGCCAGGTGGATTCTGGGATCTCCAGGAGCTTTGATCGGGTGAAGGAGGATAGCTGCCACAGCAAAGAGAACACATGCAAGAGACTGTCGGGCATCTCCTCTGCAGATTCAGCCTTTTCCTCTCAAGACTCCATCACGCTGTCTTTTGAGAAAGAAAGTACATACGGTAAGAGCTGTTTAATGATCTACAACTGGAACTATAACTTGTGTAAACATTAAAATACTGAATGAATGAATTCACAGAGTACAGGTGCAGGTTTTTCTCTCAAAGTCATCCTTTTCCTTCTTTCCTTACTGCCCAGATTCTGCAGAAATCCAGAAGCGAAAGCTGTGTGAGGCCATCAGGACCAAAGATACTGCCAAGCTGATGAAGATCCTCCAGCCTCAGGACGTCGACCTTCTCCTGGATGGAGGAGGCAGCCTGCTGCACCATGCCATCACCTTGGCTAATGAGGAGGCTGTCAAGTTCCTCCTCCTGAACAATGCCAATCCCAACCTTGCAAACGCTCGAGGCTCCACCCCCCTCCACCTGGCCACAGAGAAGCACCTGAAGCCGCTGGCAGAGGTTCTGCTTGGTCGGCGCAGCACCAATGTGAACGCCAAAGACGAGGACCAGTACACGGCTTTGCACTGGGCAGCTCAGAATGGGGACGAGGCCATCACACGCCTGCTGCTGGACCGGGGGGCGGCCATCAACGAAACCGACGGTCAGGGACGCACGCCGGCTCACGTGGCCTGCCAGCACGGCCAGGAGAATGTGATCCGGGTGCTGCTGAGCCGCGGTGTTGATGTTCGAATCAAGGGCAAGGACAACTGGACGGCGCTTCACTTTGCTGCCTGGCAAGGGCACCTGGGCATCGTCAAGCTGCTGATCAAGCAGGCCGGTGCCGACTTGGACGGCCAAACGACAGATGGCCGCACGCCGCTGCATCTGGCGTCCCAGAGGGGGCAGTATCGAGTGGCCCGGATCCTGATTGAGCTCGGGGCAGATGTCCACATGACATCCGCCGGGCTAAACACACCGCTACACGTGGCGGCACAAACGGGTCACACCAGCACCTCTCGCCTCTTGATCAAACACCAGGCAGACATCCACGCCCAGAACACCCAAGGACTCACCCCCCTCCACCTTGCCTCCCAGCGGGGCCACCTGGCCACGGTCAAGATGTTGATAGAAGAGGGGGCCGACCCCTACAGAGCCACCCAGGCCCTACGCACCCCCTGCCACATGGCGGCAGAGGGCGGACACTGTGAAGTCCTGAAGGAGTTGCTCCTTCACTGTCCGGACGGCGGCACCCTGTCGGACGAGCAGGGCCTCAGTCCGCTACACCTGGCGGTGCAGGGCGGCTACTCGAACGTCATCACGCTGCTGCTGCCACAGGACTGCCAGGACTTAGCTACAGAGAGCTCAGTGCAACCAGCAGCCGAGGAGCCTGCACCACCAGAGGCTCGGCAGCTCCAGAGGAAAGTTGTAATTCTTAAACTGACTGAGCACAACAACAAAGACTGCCCACAACCCACCAGCTCACATTGTTCTTCGGCACCATGCTAACAAGAGCAAAGACAAAACTGTACACAGCTATCTTTCGTGGGGTTTTCTTTCCACTCCTCTGCTGCCCCAAGAGTTGAGTTGGTTCCTCCAGTCTTCTAGTCTTTTGGACTTCAAAGCCCGTTGAATGCTGTAGGTACTTCCTAATAGTTAGAAAAGCTTGGATGTAAATATGTACACTGTAAATAGAAAGTATAAATACTCCATTGCCTCTGAATTTAGGCTTTTGTTTACTTTTTTACTTAACAAGCATTTTTTTTTTTTTTACGTAACAAGCACATGTTGTGTCTGGAGGTTTAATTTGGTGCGTCCTTCCGGGACCTTTCGCTGTACCACGCTGCAGCTGGTATGCCTGTAAATTATATTTAATTGAGTAAAAACGTCAGTCACAAGCTGTATTAGATGAATGCTGTAGTTCATCAGAGCCATTGTATTTACAGAAAACGCTCAGTGTTCTGTACCTGTTACATATCGCTGCTACGGCATCCATTAAAACATTTTAAACCTTTGCTTGTTGCTTTTCTCACGTAACTCGTATTCTGGTAAGATTTGGTTTTCTGGCTAAACGTGTTGGCTTTTTACATTCTTGCAGTAAAGGGGAAGAATATGCAT